TTTTATTATAATTAATATTTTCTATTATCAAGTCCACTTCTGAGTATATACATTCCCCAAAATGAAATCAGGGACTCAGGGATTTGTATACCCATATTCATAGCAGCACAATTTGCAATAGGCAAAAAATGGAAATAATCTAAATATCCATTGATGAGCAGATAAACAAAATGTGGACTATACATACAGTGGAAGGCTATTCATCCTTAAAAAAAAGAGGACATTCTAATATATATGACAACTGGGATAAACCTTGAAGATATTATGCTAAGTGAAATATGCTAGACACAAAGAAGAAATGCTGCATGCTACCACATGTATAAGCCACCTAACAGAATCAAATTCACAGTAGTGGAAAGTAGAATAGTGATTGTCAGGCGCTGAAAGGAGAGGAAGATAGGGAGTTGGTGTATGGAGTAAGAAAAATGAAAAAATTCTCCAGATGGATAATTACAGTAGTGGTTTACACAGCAATATGAATGTACTTAATGGTATTGAATTATATACTTAGAAATGGTTAATAAGATAAATTTTAAGTTATGTGTATTTTACCCCAACAAACAGACAAACAAACAAACAAACAAAAAAGAGGCTTTGAATCCACTCTATTTATTACATGCTTTCTAAACAACCCCAGTCGACAGTATCACCATCTGCCCTCTCTGATATATGTCTACAGATTTTGTTCTTCCTACCTTTTCGATCACTAAAAAGAAGAGTGTGAGAAGGGTATGATTTCAGAAAAAGAAGATTCAAATATTGGCCTTGTCCTTTATTAATGTGAAGACAAGCAAATTATTCAAGTTTTATGAATCTAAAACTACTTGTTTTCTTAAACTATGATTATAATGTTGACCCCCCAGAATGCTATGGAAATCAGAACAAAGATATGATCGATATATAATTAACTACAAATGTTATTAATAATTAATTAATCAGTAATTTACTAATATTTACCCCTAAAATTTTGACAAGAAATAGTATGTGTTCTTCACAGTAAAGCCAAAGAACCTGAAAGCTCTATTGAACAAAGCAGGAGCTAAAGATTAAAATTTCTGGCTAATTTTTTTGTGTACAATATTGCTAATATTTACAGTATATAATATTGCTAATATTATCTAAAGTCAGCATCAGGAAACCAGTTTCTTGAATAATTCTCCCTTCACAATATTACTGAAATATATTCATTTTTACTTCAAGTTACAATTACCACTAATAGATTAAATTTCATTTACTTGTCTTTTGATTAATCGTGAAACTTCGTATGACACAAATTTCCCCACTTTAAAAAAAGAAATGCATTTCCACAGTCCAAAAAAACTTATCTAGTCTATCTTTTTGGTTGGACAGTAGAAAGATATAAAAATAATTCCAGTGTGATGGGATAAGGCATGAGTACAGTGATGTGGAATTAAAATCTGCAGATGTCCTGACTTCGCTTGCAGGAGTCAGGAGAGGTTTCCCACAGCAGTTGACCTTTGAGCAGCCTCAAGGTAGGAGGAGGATCCTGCTAGATGAACAAAGGTGTTCTGAGTAGCAGATGATACACACAATGGTAGAGGCAGGGCAGAGCAGAGCACAGGAAGTACTGGGAACACTGGTGTTATTAAATATCAAAGTGGAGGAGGAGGAATAATAAATATGAAAGGATAATTTGGGATCATTATTATTAAAATCATGCTATTATTTTAGACTTTAAAGCTCTTAATATTTTTTAATGTGGTGTTAGAGATTGAACCCAGGGCCTTGGGCATGTTAAGCATGTGCTCTACCACTCAGCAAAGCCCCAGCCCCTCTCCCTTAAATTTTGACCAAAGGAGTAACTTGTGATTTTTAGAATGGATCTGATGGCCCTATGATAGATAACCAAGGATAACAACAGCCAAGGAGCCACAAGATTAGTCAAGAAATTTCCCTAGTTTAGGCGACAGGAAATCATAAGTAGAACAGTGGTACAGAAGATAAACAGAAATGATACAAGCAGACAGAACTGATGAGATATGTTAACCAATTAGTGTGCAGGAAGAAGAAAAGTTAAGAGTCATGTGGAAATTTTGAGAGAGAAAAGATACAATCTGTCAAAAGAACAATAAACAGATCTGTGAGAAAATTTTCAACTAGCTAGGTTATCAAACGAACAGCACATTTCTGAAGTAAGCTAAAACAGAGCCTTAATCAAAGTATCAGATATATTACTAAGGATGACCCATAATGTGCACATATAAAATCATTTTACATGTATGTTTTAGAATAAAACTGACAAAATATATTTTAAATATGTAAAGTCTTGCTAGAAATAAAGCATACACATGAAGATTAGAAAGGTAAAATGTTACACAGACAAGAATTTTGTAGTTTTAAATAACTTGGTATTTTGTAGTCATTCTTTGATCCATTCACTCGATAAACATTTATTTTGTACCATATGTGGCTGATAATGTATCTGACAATAGAATATAAGATGAATATATGATCCCTAAACTTGAAAAGTTGGCAGTTTAATGGAGAAGATGAATATCTATGTAAATATTTTTTAGCAAAACACTATAAATGACAAAGAAGTATGGACAATTCAGTCCATGATTAGGGTGACCTCCCCATCCCCGTATGAATGAATGTCCTGCCTCCAGGAAACCCTATGGTCTTGGGCAAAACATGATGAGCAGTCATTCTACCCAGCAACACAAAGGATGTTTTTTAATCCAGGTGGTGACACTGGCATGAAGTTTGTTTTCATCCAAGGGGGTTCATTTAAATTATGTGTTGAGATAGAAAGAGTAAGGGGGACAAAATATATCATAGGTGAAAATACAATTCCACACAAAGAGTTGGATGTATAGTTGTATGTCATTTGGTATTGTTGGAGTATAAATTCTTATGTCAAATTTAGAAATTATTGATTTTATATTTGTTTACAAATGGTCAAAAGCAGCCAATATACTAAGCCAATTTAACTATTTCCTATTTGGAGAAAAATGGAGCCAAGTAACAGAAATTTTGGTAAAAGAAAAATCTACAGGACACATGAAGGCTTCTTTAAATTTTATTTAAAACTATAATGCGTGAGGTCAGCTTAAAAATATTCATAAGGGAATAGGTCTGTTTTTTTAAGAAAAAGGTTAGGAAGCACTGTGAAATAGGAACAGCTTAAGATAGAGTGAAAACATGTGTATTGCCTTTAAATGTGGGCTCAGAGAACAAGAAAAGTGCAAAACAGAGTCTAGAGTCCAAGGTAGAAGTGGCAGGAAAATGACATAGGCCTGTAGAAAATAAGGGTGAGGTTAGTAAGGTGAGTGGGGAGGATATTGATTGATTAATTTAAAGCCAGAAGTTATCACAGCCTGGTTGTATGATGCTTAGAAAAAAAAATAAAGCGAGGGAGGGAGGCGGGGAGGCGGGGAGGGAGAGAGAGAGAGAGAGAACTATAGGAGGAAAGCAGATGAAAGCCCGCAGCAAACGGGACCACAACCCTGGGAGACACAGACTAGGAAATGGAGAGGTTTGGAGGTGACAAGGCTGGAGCTGTCTCCTGGTTGAGGACACAGAAGAAAGTGTGAAAAGAAGTTGGAGTGAGTGAATTAGAACAGTCAAGTAGGACTGCCAATTGCGGTTTGCGGTCATAATTTATGGTGAGATCACGAGACACTGTTGCATTTTCCTAAGGCCATTCAGCTACTCCAGCCAACATGTGGAATAAACAAAGAGCCAGATTCAATCAGGGCTACTGCCTTCCTATAAGTTTACCAGTTAAAAAGAGGAGAAAGGAGAATGGGAGTTGACTGCATAAAAAAAATAGTCAGTATTTACCTGGTTTGCGCTCTAAAAGTTGTTGTAAGTGAAACACTGCTTGTTCATAGTCTTGTTTTCTAAACATGATATCAGCCATCATCTGTACAGATAAAGTTGGTTTTAAAATACTGCCGTATATTTTATAAAGAATATTCTTCTATTCAAGATTAAATACGATGACTATCTATGAAATATATGAGAGGCAAAGTTTTACAAAAACTCTTACTTTTTAAAAGCCACCCTGTGCAGAACTGCTCGGAGTGTAACATAAGACAATCAGGGCTGTGAAACAGATTGCTCTGTTTGAAACATGGTATTTTTAGCAAAAAATATGTTTCAAGTGGTGGTTTCAAAAACAGAAATTTGAAGGGAAATGAACATACTATATGTGGACTTGGCTAAAATGACAATAAGAAAATCAAAACAAAAAAACCCCCAAATTTAACTGTTGATTATTTCAAAGAAATGTAAAACAAGCAAGACCTACTGAGGTTTTCTAATTATGGGATTTTAAAAGGAAAATGATGTATTTCTTTCTAGTTATAAGTTTGAATGAACCGCACATATAGCTGTTTGCTGATAAACACTTCAACTCAGGTAAAAGAAAGAGGCTGGGGATTTAGCTCAGTGGTTCTGCTGACTGCCTCAAAAGCGCAAGATCTCGAGTTCAATCCCCGATACCAAAAAAAAAAAAAATGTAAAAGAAAAGCAAAACTCTAACAGACCATCTAAGAGTGATATATGAAGTTGTTTTATTTTTCCTGTAACTTCTAAGGTTTGACTGAAACTCTTAAATTAGTCCAGCATGACTAAGTACCTAAAAGCTAGCCTTTGGTAAATTGCCGCTTTAGCAAATGAACTCCTCCTGACTAAGGGGTCACTTAGGCATAAAAATAATTAACTAGACCCAAAAGGCAAGTAAAAGTATGACCCATATTAGCTGTCATAATTACAATGCTTTATTTGGTTTTTATTTGTAAAATATACTAACTTATGAAAAATAGATATGAAGTATATATAAATATATAATATATAAAATATGTAATATATAAAATAATATAAAAAATATTAACTTATGAAATATGTTATTTTTCCAAAAGCCAACGTGAGCCATGCTACCATCTATTATTAGATTTATGGGTAAAATTTGAAACTTCCATCTGGAAGCACCTTTACAGTATGGAAGTTTCTCAGACTGACCATGGTGGCAGACTCGTTGTCCTGGTCATTCTGGAGAAGCATCACACAGTGCCGCAGGCAGGCATCGGGGTCACCTTGGGCCAGGTATAATCGTGCCAATTCCAACATTATCTGGTGAGCAAAAGGTAAGAATAGTCAGAAACTGGTTTGAGATAAAAAATGAATGAAGAAAATATTTGGATATGATTAAATTTTAGTTGGTCAAAAGTTATTGCAATAAAAATGCCAAGTAGGACAACTGTAGGCATGCTCATTTCTATTTTTTCTTCTACTAAAAATAAACAGCAAAGTAGGTAGTAACTCAGTTGAAGGCAAAGACAAGTTACTGTGGAAAAACACTGCTCTTCCATCAGGAGATTGGGCTCCCCAGCTTTCCATGATGGGGCTGTTAGGCCCTTTTAACTCTTTAAACTTGCTTTGTCATTTGTAAAATAAAAAAAGCTTCAACCAGATAACCCATAAAGTATGCTTCAGAGTTAAAAGTATGATTTCCACTTCTCTAGCCTCTACTGAAAAAGGTATCTATTGGGTTATGCCTTAGGAAAGGTTATTTATGTCAGTTCTCACAGTGTGCCTCTTGAGGTCATAAAGTAGTCATCCTTAGCACCAAAGAACAATTAAAATACACAAATGTACAACAGCTGCTCAGTAAAGTGAATTGAATCACTTAGAGCCACATATTTACTTGTGGCTTAGAAACTGTTTTAAAGTGATTACTAAAGTGTAGATGCATATTAAAAACAAAGACCTTGATGGCTTGTTTACGTTGTTTCATTATAATTTTTAGACTAATATTTTTAATTTGACATATATTTCAAAAGTTTTTTAGAAAAAGTATTAGATCTGTTTTTTGTTACATTTCTTTTCAAATCTTTATTAATAAGCTAATAAGAATTTTACATGTGAGGAAATTAGACAACATCTGGAATAAAAAGTGCTTAAAATTTTATAAAGGTACTGACCTTATTATCTGTTTCACAATGAACCAGAGCCTCTCTATAAAACATAATTGCTTTTTCATAGTCTTGCTGAGCAACAGAATGTTTTGCAATCTCTGCACAAATTTCAGCTGCTAAATGTTTTTGTGCAGGAACTGCATCTGGCTGTTCCATCTGAACACGTTTTAGTACCCGAGCTTGTAATTCTCGAGCCTAGAAAAAAATTAAAGGCAAAAAAAGAATTAAAGAAAAACAAAAGAAAGGAAATTAAACCAGTTTCAAAAACACACATAATATAATTTTACAGAGGATTTATTGAAGCATTATTGGCGTTGATCTAACAAAGCCTAATCCAAAAAAAATGTCTTACTGAGAACTCAGACATGTACTGTTTGCAAATATGCCAGCAGGCACATATCTTTCCAAGCAAGGGACTATGAGACTAATGAATCTTTTCCCATGTTAGATGGACAAGTACAGGAAGCTCATTAAAAAGAAAATGCAACTAAGAAACAAATGTACTTGGAAAAGATATCTAGGTGCTGTCATTACATAATTAAGAACTAAAAATATTTATTAAATTGATAAAATAGTATCAAATTAAATCAAATATTGGTAGGTTATAGGTAACAAGTATATTTACATACACTGTTGATGGTATATGAACTAGTCTAGTTTTTCTGGAGTAGACTCTAGCAAAACACATTTATACCATAAGACTAAGCAGGCTGTTGAACTTAGTTGCTCTACTCTTGGAAAGGTATTAAGGATATTTAGGAGGAAAAAAGGAAAGTGGCCATCCATTGTAAAGAAAAACATGCAATAACAACAAAACAAAAACACTGAAAACAATTTAAATGTCTAATGATGGCTAATCAACTGATGGTTTATATAACCATGGTCATATGCTATGCAAAGACACCTTAAAAGGATGTGGCAGCCTTCCTCTTCATAAGAACATAACATAGGTTGCTAAACTGGAAGAATTTCTATCTTTCCACCCATACATTTGGAACATTAAGCCCTTCTGTTAATAAATGAAAGAGCGAAGGTGGTGGCACATGCCTGTAATCCCACCACTGGGGAGACTGAGGCAGGAGGATTGCCAAGAGTTCGAGGCCAGCATAGGCTATACAGTGAGTTAAAGGCCAACATTAACTACATAGCAATAAACAAATACTCCTATGGTTTAGGCCTTTACATATGTAATTTAAATTTGAGCAGTAGTCATTCACTAATGCATTCATTTAACAAAGAGTAAATGTCCACCGGGTGCTATACATTAGGTACACACAGCCACCCTTCAAAGGACTCTTGTCAAAATGTTTGACTGACAACTGATACTTGCTAAATATAGTTTAAAGCAGAATTTTTTTGAACCACAGGTTTAGGGGCTTATAAAGCATTCTTTTGGAAATGAAAAAAAAAAAAAGATTAGAAAATATGAATGTATAGCATTTGGTGAAGATCAGTACTACCTCATTATATTTTTATTTTGGTTACATTAACATGTGTTTATATAAATATGGTAAGTATATGTGCTGGGTTTGGAGTCTATATGTATATACACATACATATATCTATCTTCATGCTTTTACTGCCCCCCCCCGACACACACACACTCTCCAAAAATCCTGAAATAATTGTTCTGAATAGAATAATCTCTTTCTGGTAGGAAGGGCTCCCTCCAAACACCTAGAAGTCCTCTGCCATCACCTGGCCATCAGGAAGTGAAGGCAGAAAGCAGGTTGGAGTCCACACCTAGCACCTTAGTATCCTATCCTAAGAATTCAAGTTCCCAGGCAGTATCCTCTAAGCATTTTGTTGAAACATGCCCCATCTTTATTGCCCTACCTTGTTTTCCATCTGGATCTTAATTGCAAGTTAAGAAAGAAAGGGAAAATTAAAGAGAAAGCACAATGGATCTTTGCAACAGAGTCCCATGGCAAACTGCCCCGGGACAGTTGTCCCTTTATCCAACAAGATGAAAACTGAGATAATTTGAAAGCTGAGCTTTGAGGCAGCCTCAAGGTTTATACCTGCTTGGCCTAATTATCAGTATTGCTCTCATTCCCTTTCAAAAGCATTCTGTTTTGAATGATAAAGTATATGGTCAAGAGATATGCAATTTATTCTCTAAACAGACTGAATTTTATCTACCAACTAACCTCTAGAAAGCATATGTGTGCCTTCATAGCTTCTCAGAGAAACTCATTAAGGAGTTAGTTTTGTATAACTCTCTGCCATTTTCTTAAAGATAAGTTGGCTTTGTCACTTAAAATGTTTTAACAGCTTAACCTTACTAAAACTGTTGTACTTCCCATGTAGTTACTAGTAGTTAACCTAGGATTAGATAAAATTATCTACAATGTGAGCCTGAAAACAGGAATTAAGATACTAATGATTTAAAATAAGATATTAACATTGTTGAAGATTCTGTATTTTAATGAAATCATAAGCTTAGATGATATCAAGGAAATCTAATAGTCCAAGCTCTCAATTCATTCCCACCAAAGCAAAAAATTTTGGAAATTGACAGTGAAACACACACACACACACACACACACACACACACACACTGTAGTATTAGCTAAAGATCATAATAAAAACATCTTATAAATTAAATTAATTACAGAATGCAGAACTCTTCTCATTAAAAAGTGACAAGTAGAGGTGTCCTAGAAAGCACACAGGATTAATACTGAGACATTCTGAGTTGTGCTTCAAGTATGCCTACCAACAAACCACTGTGCATAATTTGGGGCAGATATTTTCAGTGGACTCCTTTCTAAATTTGGAAGATAAGGATAGTAATAGATGCATTATTTGTTTACATCAGTGGCATACTGTTTTCAACATAGCACAGGAGCTCATAGACTCAGAATAAATAGAATATAAAACTTTAAAAAAATATATAAAGTATTAAGGAAGTGATTATTATGTGCAAACACCTGTTCACTTTAATATGCAGAAATTACACTACTGCAAAACAAATCAGTATTATGAATCCATTTTGGAGACCATTAAATTGCCTCAAAGAATTTAGGAAGTAATCTCTCCCAGAATGAAGCCATGAAATCAACCCATAATGGATTAGGGCAGAGGGAGAGGTAAAAATCAGTTAAATGAGAGACTACACAGTAGTTCTGCAAGTTGAAAACATGACGAGTTTTAACATTACAAGAAAAAATGATCTACACATAATGGGAACAGGTTGTAATGGTCAACAAAAGCATAGGAACTAAGAGATATTAAAGTCTGCAGCATCTAAGCAAGCCAGGGGTAAGAAATATACTATTACATTTCTTTGTTCTAAAGTAATGGAAGAAACGCATACAAATCCCATAAACGGCTCTTAGTTTGCAGCCACATTTACTGGGTAACCTTTTAATCGTTTAATATTGCATATAGTGTACTTTCAGGAACAGAATGAGAATGCCATCCACTCAACCACTATTGAGTCATAAAGAGGCACTGTTTATTAAGAGCTATGTCATGACATTTTCAATCATTTGTGCCAATGGCCAGGCTGAGGGTTTTAAGACTCCATGCCTATGGAAAAATTCTGTATATAAAATGAGGCAACTGTAACAAACACTGTCATGGGGACCCGAACAATTAGAAAGTATGAAATAAACCACAAAATACAAAATAAAACCAAAGTATAGGTGGTAGAAAACAAATCTATAGTTTGCACAAAAATATTCTCATAAAACCCTTAGATATTTCATAATTACTTGCTAATTGTACAAAGGATTCTCTAAAAATCCTTCAGTGTTTGACCCTACAGGGAAATGTATTGTGTTAACTCCAAAGTTTAAAATAACTGGTTTAAAATGCATGACAACAAATATGGAAATGGCAAATGTGAAATAAAGCTTCAGATAAGAAAAGGATGTTCGTTGTAATTTAGGTAACACTGAAAAAGATATTAAAAAGAGGCATAAACAATAAACTAATAGAAGGAAAATTGGGCTAAAAATGAAATCCAGAAAAAAGCTTAAAAAAGAGAAGGTAAAATTTAAAAAGTGTCAAAAATTTAAGATGGAGATATAAACTAAAATATAATCCACAATTATATTGAATATAAACAAAATATCCTAATGAAAAGAATAAAAGGTTGAAATTGTCATAATGGAGAAAAGAAAAAATTAATTATATGCTGACAGATCTTCAATATAAGGACATGGAAAGGAAAAGATACACATGGAAACACTAACCCATAAAAAGTTGGAATAGTTAGACTAGACAGAAGAAATTTTAAACAAGAAATATTATTAGAAATCAGAGGGTTATCTTATAATTAAAAGGGGTTAGTTAAACAGGAAGAAATGACAATTCTAATTCTGGATCACTGAATCTATCTCTTCTAAATATAACAAAAACATACGACTAAGAAGAGAAAGAAAAATCTACAATCATAGTGAAGGACCCTGACCCCTCACAACAGCAGGTTATATACACAGACCAAAAGTTAGCAAACAGTAAGAACTGAACCCTAAGAACAGAAGATTTGAACAAACCTACTGGCAAATTTAACCTCACTGATATGTGTTGAAACTCAGCAATTCCAGAGAAGCATTATTTCAACTTCACATAGAACAAAGTGATTAAAATACAGGAGAAAACAAGGGTTAACAAATTTCAAAGGATTGAATTCTTTGAAGTATATGTTTGACCACAGTGGAATTAAACTCAAAATCAATATCAAGAAGATAACAAGAAAATCAGAGCTGATTAGAAATTGAACATCAAGTAAAAATGAGGAAATAATTATGAACCAGACAGTAATAAACTTGTGGGACGTATCTAAAGTAGTGCTTGAGGAAACTTACCACTTTAAATAAGATAAGAACAAAGGTTAATATTCACCACCTGCCATGCTATATCAAGAAACTTGAAAAAGACCTGCAAACCAAATCAAAGGAAAATAGAAGAAACTAACTAATGAGGTAGAAAGCAAACATTTAATGATGCTAAAGAGTGAAGAGTTGATTATTCGATATGATAAGAATAAGCCCCTAGCATAACTGATCATTACAAAAAAGGAAAATAAGAGACCAATGTCAAGACTATAAAACAGGATTTTATAGCACTTGCAGGCATTCAAAAGATAAAGATAATGAACAAATGTATGTCACTATATTTGACAATTTAATGGAACAAATACAGTGGACACTCAAGTTGTGACCAACCTGACATACAAACAACCTGGAAGGATTGGAAGATTCATCTCCCTCTTACTATCTATAGCATGTACCCAGGTAAACATCCAGATCTCAGCTGTATTGACTTACAACCGACTTGAGTTACAACCAGTCTTTGGGAACTGATTGAGTTCATAAGTCAAGGGTCCACTGTAATTTAAAAAATATAACAATGTAGCCAGACATGATGGTGCCCGCCTGTAACCCTAGCACTTGAGAGGCCGAGGCAGAAGGATCACCAAGAGTTCCAGTCCAGCCTAGGCTACATAGCAAGACTTAGTCTCTAAACCAACAAGAGGATATTTAAAAATGATCAGTCTGAAATGTATTAAAGATGTTGAATCCAGTAAAAAACTATCAAAGAAGTCTTGAAGCCCCAATGGTTTCAATAATGAATTCTTCCAAACATTAAAGAAACAACAGCACTTTTATAGACCAATGTCCCTGATGAAAAAAGATGTAGAAAGCCTGAACAAAATATTAGGAAATATCTTTAAATTCAGACCATACTGTCTTAAACACTGCAACAAGGTGACATTTATTTCAGGAATATAAGGGTGGGGTTAACAATTCAAAACCAATCAATTTAAGACACCACATAATGGACAAAAATAAACAGGAAAAAAACCTCAGATAATCATCTTGAGGAAGCAAGATTGAAAGACTAGAAAGACCAATCCCTTCGACAAAATGTATAAAAGGTGAACTTCTCTTTGTTCAAAGCCCAGCACTTTGGACACGAGTTCGACTGGGTCAGGTGTACACCTAATAATTTCTCCTGATTCTCATTTGGTCTCTCTTGTCGTTTTGGAATTCTGCGACACTAATAGATGTAGAGAATGTATTTGAAAGAATTTAAACCACTTAGAAAACTTGTCATTAAACCTGAAATTTAAAAAAATTATCCAAAACTTTCAACTAATTAGGAATATATCTTAGAAGATGTGTGTAAAACTTCTACCCTGAAAAACCGAAATATTAAGAGAAACTAAATATTTAAATACATGGAAGAAAGCATAGAGGTGAGATTTTGATGGCAACTATTATGGTTTGTTTTTTTAAATGTCCCTTCAAACCCTAATGGGATGAGGTGGGACTTTCTTTTTCAGAGGTAGTTGGATCTGGAATGTGTGATGCTGGGGTTAAGGGAGTATGATTACTAAACCACTACACATGAGTGATTCGTTTGGCACTGCCCCAATCCTGTAGTGTGAATAAGATAAAAGGGGCAGAAAGATGCTGTTAAAACTCCCTTGTTACCTTGCTGCCTTGTGCCCGCCATGTTGTTTCTCCTCTGCGATGCCTGTTTGCCATCCCTGTTTGCCATGCCTGTTTGGCTCCCTTGGAGCCAGCCCATTATAGACTGAAACCTCCATGAACTGGAAGCCAAATAAACCCCTTCCCCTCCAACTCTGTGCGTTGGGTATTTTGTCTCAGCAACGAGAGAAAAGTAACTAACACAGTAACCCAAGTCATAGGACTTCATGCAAGTATTAAAATAAGTGTCCTCAGCAGTAAAACAAAATTTAAAATATCAGCTTTCCTTAGTTGTTACAATAATTAGCAATATTTCAGTTGCACAATACACTCCTCCATGATTTGTTTGGCTCTATTTTCTATGCCTTTCGGGCCGGCATAGATAGCTTTCCTCTTATGGTTGGCACATTCCTTCTGCACCCACCTCTCTCCCACGCCCAAAGCCACACACATTCACCTGCTGTAGGGAAGTGACTGCTTCTCCAGGTCTTCCAATTTTACTATAAACCTTTGCCAGAAGAACTTGAGACCGTCCATCCTCCATGAGAGCCGACAGTTCATTTACTATAAAAGAATGGGTCGCAAAGGGAAAAAATATTGATCTTAAATAAACATTTATGTTTTTCTACAATTTTTAGAAAAGACTTTGAAAAAAAGTCAATAGGAGCTAGAGATCTGGCTTAGTGTTAAGACAGCTTGCCTAGTATGCATGAGGCCCAGAGTTCGACCCCCTCTATCCCCCAAAAGGAAAGTAGAATGGAAAGTAGTGAATAAGGTCTATTTTTATTTTCAATTGCTTAACTAAAGTATGACCAAAAATAAAAGGTTTAGGATAATAATTGGCTGGAAGAAAATTTAAAAAATGGATAACAACTAGAAGTCTTTCTTTGATACACATTGAGAGAATAATCTTTCAACATAAATAAGCATTTCAATTTTTGTTTGAAAGAGTATAAAAAATTTCTGTTCACTGAAGGCATTAAAAGAAGACAAAACAGCTGCTATATGCAAGTAAGAGGATAACTGCTCTTTTTAAAATAAGAGATACCCGACAAGCAATAAAGTACAGGCATGAAGAGCACTGACTTACAGGCTAATTCGGCTAGTTTCACGTTTAGGTTTCACAGTTTATTAGTTCTGTACCTCCCTTTCACTTGTAAAACAGGAAAATAACAGTCCCTATCTTACAGAGTTATTGTAAGATATTTACAAAGCTAGTAAGTTATTGAATAAATTAACATATGCAAAACAAAATAAAGTCTGGTACAAGGTGAGTCTATTTAAATACTTGGATAGTACCAAATATTTTATAATGTATGAGGCAAGAGGAGAACCCTGAATAATTAACAAGAATAAGCTTCTCCTACCATTTATCAATTGTTGCACAGTCCATGGTACACTCTGTTCCAGAGGTTCAGATACCTTTTGTCATGGTTATTTTACAGGTAAGAAAAGCTCTGAAGCAGGCAAAAGTAACAAAGCGGTTGTGTGGGTGAGAGAAGGGTAGAAGGTATGAAGGGCTGAGTAAAGCACAGCAAAGCCATGTGCTTAATCTGAAGGATGTGGGGGAGAAGGATGACTTCGAGCAGACAGGGTTGGACTTACCCTGTATAAAGGGCTTACAGCTGTTGTGATGGAAGAGGCTGTTGTGGGGCAGAGAGCAGCCAGCGACTGCTGAAATGCAGGTAAGTGATGAGGGAGGCTTGGACAAGAACATAATTAATGGAAACAGTGACACACAGACAGATTCTGAATATATTCATAAGGTGGAAGCAACAGCATTTCAAGGGTAAAGATGAGGGCAAGGATTTGGGCTTTTAGTAACTACAAAGAAGGATAAAGTTATTAATGAGCTAAAAAGGCTGCACGTGGAATAAATTTAGTTAAATAAGGAAATCAGGAATTTAGTTTCAGACATGGTAAGTTTAAAATGTTTATGAGAACCCTGGTGCTACTATTTATCAGGTGGGTAAACTCAGATACATGAAGAAAATTAAGTCTCAGATTACCAAACTTAAGTAGGGATGAAGCTGGGTGTGGTGGTGCTTGCCTATAATCTCAGCATTCTCATATGCTGAGGCAGAACCTACCCTGGGTTAGCAAAACCCTGTCTAAAAAGAAAAAAGAAAAAAACAAGCTGAGGATGTAGCTCAGGACAAAGGCCCTGTGATCAATTCATCAGTACTGCATGAATGCATGACTAAATGAATAAAAAGTAGGGATGAATAACAGTTACACTTGCCTCAAAGATTAATGTGATTACCAATAAAGTAGTACATGAAATGTATATGAAGGCATCTAAGTATGTCATGGAGTGTGCTCATCAAATATTTAATAAGTGAAAGCATTTATATTAATAAATGTAACACATCCAACGTAAATAAAGCAGCATACCTGAATTTCTCCCTACACTGTTTTCCAAATGGATATCCACATTTAGGCTTTTGACTGTTTCAAAGGAGGGTCTGATAGACCCATGCACACTTTTTTTTTATGATACAATAAAAAATACATATGAATTTATATAACCAATCACAAATATACAATATTGAGAATATAAATACATTATTATGTAATGTAAAATAAATCAGACTAATCAGGTATATATTTTGAATTAGAAAGATTTTCATACCAGGTTCATGAGCTAGTGCATGTTGAAGAACTTTTTCTGCTTTTTCATCCAATTTCAATTTTAATAAAAGCTCAGCCAGATCATAGCAAAGATAATTCTGTTGTCCACTTTTCAGAGCAGCTTCATAGTAAGTGATTGCCTAAACAAAATCAATTTCATTTAGGAAAAAAAATAATGAGAATGGAATTTAAGCACAGATATTTTAAATATCACAGATTTAAGGCATACTAGAAAATAACGGGAAATAATCTTGGACAAATCCTACATAAGCACCTGCACTATCACTTCAGAACTTACGCCATTTTTCTTACAGAATCAAGCATCATATAACACAACAAACACTTCTTAAAATAATTGGCTAATGAAGAGTATTTAGCAAACAGTTTTTACATATTTCACTCTATTTTTTACCTTTTTATTTTTTTGACTTTTATTAGGCCATGTTTGCAGTACACTGAGGCCAGAGAACCCTATAAAAGCACATAATTTGCTAGCTGGTGTATCTATAATTAATAATCAGTTAAAAGAAAACATAGTATTCCTACTAGGGAAAAATAAGCCTCTCAAAGCATCTGGGTTGCCAAATTGGCTCAACAAAATGATACTTATGCTTTATTATACAATGCAAGAAAAAAAGAATAGCAACTTGCCAGGCGTAGTGGTACATGTCTGTAACCCCAGCACTCTAGAAGTCTGAACCAGTAGGATTGCAAGTTTGGGCCTAATCTGGGCAACATAGTGACTTAGTGAGGCAATGTCTCAAAAAAAAAAATAA